AGAATTAACCTTTCACATATCACAAAGAAGGTGGTTATGCCTTCTCTTTACACTGTCCTCAGCCACACAACAATTTGGCAGGGCTTCCTCCCACCATTTTGGTTGTGTTTCACTTTCTCAAAGTCCTCCTTAAAATGCCAGCTATGTTGCTGACATAACTGTTACATGGTTTAGACAGCCAGGTCATCTGCCGGGACCAGGATGTGAAGCTAGTCTTAGCCTGCAGATGGGCTCACTCATTAACAGTAACCATGGCATCCACCGACCCGTACTGCAAAGTCAGCTCTCTCCTCTTTGCACCAGTCTCTTACATTCTTTCTTCCTCCCAAACTCTGCAGACATTACATTCCTATGTCCAGACGCATCTAAGTTTCTGCCTCCGCTTCTCAGCCACTAAGGGTGTTAGCATTGTACTGAAGACCTCACACTCTCCCATCCAGATGTGGAACACCAGTTCAGAAACAGTCAGTGGCCACAGTTTTGACCAAGTCAATGCAGGAACAAGAAAAAGCTAAGTAAACATCGCAGGGATAAGAATAACAGATCAAAAGAAGGAAGACAGTTAAGAGACACAGAGCTCGGAAGTCTGGTTGCTTTATCATCTGGAACAGTCCTTGGCAGGGGCCTAAGTATCTGTGATGTCTCCGAAGCACCCTGTGTCTTTGTAAAAAATTAGCAACACTAGCCAACCACTCAGCGCTAGTGAAGTCACAGATCTTGAAGGAGAGTGTCTGACCACCTACTAAAGCAGAACAGCCCCTAACTTCATCATAAACATTTGCCCTTACAGCTGCAGGCAAGTGTGGTCCTAAGTGCTTATCAAGGAAATGTCTCTTCAGAACAGAGACCATTACAGAAAATAAAAACTGATCAAAATGCAGAGCTGTGGAGCCCAGTCCCAAGTGATCCACCTTCAACACAGCTCCTGCACTAAGGCTTAGGGAACACTGTGGAAGAGGGGGTGGAAAGATTGTAAGAGCCAGAAGACTGTGGAGTCTCCTTAGTAATGTCAGAAAGCTATACCCATAAAATCTCACCAACACTGTTGCCTAAACATGAGCTAAATGAGGACAGCAATAGACATGTTAATATGGACAGGGAAAGCCCATAAGGACTCAAAGAAACTACAGGCATCCAAAGAATCCATAGAGCAGAAAAAACAGTCTTCTCAAGGAAGAGCACATCAATTGGTTATCCAAATGGTTACCCTGAAAACATATAGGAGTGACATTATACAGACTGAGCAGCTTATAGTAAAAATATGTGCATATATGCGTGTAACAACACTTAGTATAGAAAACAGAGGACATGAAATTGAAAGAGATCAAGGAGGGGTACAAGGGAGGGTTCAGAGGGAGGAAATAGAAGGGGAACATATTATAATCTCAAAAACAAAAGTTAAAGATAGAGAGCACTCTAAAACTTAACAACAGCCCTGAAGAATAAGGGAGGAGGCCACAACTTCTGATCTTGGATTGGTTTATATTATTTGTAAACAGGAATCTAATCTAACATAAAAACCATGGGGGGAGGGGCTGAAGAGATGTCTCAGCAGTTTAGAGAGCTTCCTGACCTGTAGAGGCCCTGATTCCATTCTCAGCACCCCTGTCTGGGGGCTCACAACTGGGTAGATTGATAATTTATACACAATTTCAGTTTCTCATAAAAAGATGCACAACAGTAATCATTAAGGAAATAAAAATCACACCTGCTACACTGGCTATAACAAAAACGACAGATATGTGATCACGAAGATGCAGAGAAACAAATGTTTGCACACTGCCGGTAGAAATACAAAATGATGTATCTGCTCAAAAGACAGAAATTAAGTTATCACAGCCCCAGCAATTCCACACCAGGGTGCATAATGAAGAGACAAAAGCATTTACATAAAGTCTTCTTTGCCGTAGCAACTGGTACAGCCTAAAAGACGAAATAAAGCAAATACCAATCAACTGGATACATAGATGAGTAAAGCAGAGAAAAGCCAGACAAGTGAATATTATTTCCATGAAGAGAAGTGAAATATTGATGCATGCTACAATTCAGATAACAACACTGTGGTAAATTAAAAAAAAAAAAATCAAAGATTGCACATTTCTTTTAAATATCCAGAAGAGTCACTCTAAAGAGACATCTGGTGGGACAAGAGGTTATGGGAAAGAGTTAACACACCAGAAGAACAACTGGTAACAGTTTCTTTCTTTCTAAAAATGATTTTGAGAATTATGACAAAACTCCAAGAACTGCTGAGGTGTTAAATATGAGTTATAGCTCAATAAAGCATTTAATAAAATCAATTAGAGGACAAGGAACCTATTACCAGCTACAATATAAATTAATTAATAGCCTATTATTTCTAGTTCAGTAAAATGTGGATCAAATCCTAAACTTAATACATACAAAATTACCACAAAATAGTCTTTGCAGCTAATTTAGTACAAGTATACCAGGTGGCTAGGGACAAGGGGCTTTGATTTCAGAGTGAGGCTTGAGTGCCAGCCCATCAGTAACAAGGTGAAGGGCCCTGGATGGTGCTAAGATTCTACAAGCCTCAATTTCCCTACCTGAGAAAGTGAGAAAAATAACAATGACTCTCAAATGATTGTTGAAAAACACATCAGTGAGATAACTCCCATAAAAGTCTAAGTAAAAGCTAGCACAGAAAAACATTCAAATAGAACTCCATGCAAGTGTCTGTATGACATGGGATCGTTGGGAAGAAACATATAATGCAGTTCTCTGTGAGTCAATGCCAATCCAGATGATTCTTACTGTAATGGAGGATTTAGGGCCCTTACAGAAGACAAGAGAGGTGATCTGTCTCAACCATGAGAGGAAACAGAGAAGAAAAGGTCTTCTCTCTCACAGTCAGCATGGTCAGCTGGTACCCTGATCTCAGACCTCACATTCTTCAGAACCATAGCCAAGCCAGCTACTTCATGACAATGGGTTAGTTTTCCTCCAAAACTGGAAACACCCCATGATATTTTTTTTCTGATGAGACAAATGAGAAAACTCAAACACACCGAAAGAGTGAAGGTTAAACTACTTATGCTTTTTCTTTTTACAATTTGTAAAATAAACTCAAAAACATAAAAATAAAAAGTTTCTCAGTCACTTGTTGATAATCTAAATGCACATACAAAAGACAAGGTCTTTGCTATTAAAAAAAACAACAACAACAAAAACAAAACAACAACAACAAAAAAACAGCCAACACTATAAGTAATAGAATCTCAGCCTTCAGGGGACAGGTAGAAGGGCTCAAAAGTAGCATGGATATATGCATACATAGATACGTATGTATGTGTGTATGTATGTTTGTATGTATATATTCTCTGTACTAGGAACATCTTTTAAAAGCCCAAGACCTAGCCAGCATTTTCATAAAGCCAAAACAATGCAGTCATCCCTCTCCCGGTCCAAACAGGAACTCCCTATGGGCCATGTAAGGCTAAGCAGTACCAGGACAGTGCAAAAAAACGTCTGGGAAACTCCTACTGTGCGTGGTCCTGAATCACACGTCGCTCACCAGGACAGCCAAAGCTCAGAGGATGTGCCCTGTCCCCATAGATCTGTACACATCCACAGTTCTTTAACCCCATCTTGCAAATATGCTCCAAATGGATCACAGCAGATTCCCCAACCTGACTGTGGCCTTGTCCACCACCAGCTCACCCTACCCCATATAGGTTGTCATTTACAAGGACGGTAGCCTTGTGCCTGAGGACCAAGGAAAAGGCCTATATCCTGTGCACATGGTCTGCAAGCATCTTCAAAAACCCTAACTACCACAGGGTTGAAAAGCACGTGGGTGCCCACGAAAATGAGGAAGTGGGAAATAGAGAAGATACCTTCAGGGAACCTGATGCTGTTGAGACCAGCTTTATTTGCTGTTATTTTCCACTTTCCAGAAAGGAAACCTGGAACAGAAAAAAAATGACTTTCCAAGGACATGTCACAAGTTACCTGAACAATCTAGGCCAACGAACAGGTTTCCCAAGCTGACAGCTGTTCCTCTGTCTGTTAGGACCTGCTGGTTCAAAATTGCCAAGCTCAATCCAACACCCAAGGAGCAGTGCAAATGCTGGGACCAAAGTAGAACAGTGAAGACATGTGCTGGCTGGGGTCACCCACTCTGGGCTCCTCCTCCTGTGGCAGCCACACGCTCCACCTGTGTCCAGCACAGTGCTGGGAACACAGAAAGTTCAAGTTGAATGAATAAACACAAAAGAATATTCAAGAAAATATATAATACCTGAATGGTCTTCATGACATAATAGAACTGAATAAATACATTATTAAATGTTTTTTTTTTTTAAGTAAAACAGCAAGGGAGGAAGCATCTCAATTACATTTTTTTCCCAACTTTTAAAAAATAATTCTCCGTACTTCTTTGTTCTTCAGAACCACGTAACTTAAATTTGTTTTCCATGTCAGAATAAGAGTCATAGCATCCTAATCTAAGTCCCACAGACAGATAGAGCCTAAGCAGGCAGCAGAGGCAAGATACTAACAAGTACCACGGAAGAGGCAACCTTCCTCAGCGCTGGGTGGGAGCCACGTGTTACATCCTCATCATAGCTAACTTTTAATGCAAAGTGAGCGTTCAAGGCACATAAAGTTAGTAACCTTAGGGCGAGATAACACACACCCACACCATTATGTAAACATGACAGTCTGCTGACACAGTAGGAGAAGCAGGAAAGAACAGCTAGAAGAGAAGACAAGGCGCCCGCCTGCCTAACAATGAATCCACTCCAAGGCTATTTGTGTAGTTGCCTAGGTTTTTCATGCCTCAAGTTTTCCATGTATAAAATGGATCTGATAATTCTATCTTCACCTTTGAGCTCATGTGAAAAATAAATAAACTGAGAAATTAGGAAACAAAAACACTAGATTAGGCTGAGGCTATAGCTCAGCAGTAAAGCACTTGCCTGGCACATGGAAGGGCCTGGATTCCAGCCCCACTTCGGAGGAAGAGGAAGAAAGCTGCTAGGTCAGCATCATCCACTGTTACGATGACGCTCCAGTCACATGAATTGAAGGTAAAGGTTGCCAATGGCAACCAGCGCCAGTTCTGCTAAGAAAGACACAGAAAAGTGCTCTGCATCATGTTTCCACATTCACATGTGCAATTTTTATGTTTAATATGTCACTTAAAAGCAAATTCAAGTTTGGTTTTGTAGTTGTTGTTAAGAAAGCTCTTCCGCAAACGGTCACATGTTAAACACTGTAGGCTCCTCAAACCGTACAGTCTATGTCTGGTCTCATCTCTACCAGAGCATAAAATCCACCATAAGCAAGGCACAGATGGTGTGGCTATCCCAATGAAACTGTATTCATGCACACAGAAATTTAAAATCCCTAACAATTTTTTAGTGGTACTCCACCGGGTCTATCATAGTAATTTGTTTACAGATCATTTCAAATTTAAAAGTCTGCTTGGCCTACGGATAAAGAAAATTTACAAACCAGCAGAACTGGGTGCATGCACCAGGCATACATAGGGCTGCCCAGTCTTGGTTTAAACATAGAAGCCAAATGGTCGACTGGCCGTCCTTTCTTTGGGATGTGCTCTTTAATTGCTGATTTCCAGTCTGCAGAGAGAATGGCTTTAAGCAGTATGTGATGGGCAGTCTAACTTACTTAGAGAGAAGCAGCTTTCATTTGTCTATTTTAGTGCCGGCTTTCGTCTACATAAATCAGATCCTAAAGCATATATTCATAACTATAAATGTCAGGCCTCTGTTCTCGAGTTTGAGGCTTTTCATTCTGCACTCTGCCACATGCTATGTCCAACATGATGAATTTATTTCATTACGTTCTGTAATCAGGAGTCTCTCTGGACCCAGAACACACTGCTTCCTGCAGATTCCTCCAATCACACAGATTCTTTAAGTCTTCCTCCAACAATGTTCAGAAAGCGTCTCCTAAATCAAGGGAGTAGACAGGTGAGTCTGCTTAGAGAGATTTTCTTGTCCTCACTGCCAGTAGTATGGAGATAAGGTTTTTAGTTCTGAACAAATAAATAATGATGTAAAAAATCAAGGCTTTTAAAAGACTTTTGTTTGTGTATTTTGAGACAGGGTGTCTCTATCTGTCTTGGAACTCACTGTATAGACCAAGCTGGCCTTGAACTCACAAAGATCCACTTGCTTCTGCCTTCAGGATTCTGGGATTAAAGGTGTTACCCACCAATTAGATTGTTTTACTAAGATTAAAAGTGTGTGCACATGCATTTGTGTGTGCGTGCGTGCGTGTGTGTGTGTGTGTGTGTGTGTGTGTGTGTGTGTGTACATGGGCCAGAGGGGATCAGAAGCATTGAGTCCCCTGGAACTGGAGTTAGAGATGGCTGTGAGCTGCCACGCAGATGCTGGAAACAGAATCTGAGTGTTCTGAAAGGGCGAAGTCCCTTTACCCCCAAACCACAGCCCCACTCCAGTACTGTTTTCATATTCTTTAATCACCAGGAAGACAGAACCTGGGGTCAGGGGGGACCCTTGTTTCTTTTCACCTCTTTAAAGCATGAAACTCTCACTAAGAAGTTATGTATTAGAACCCTCCTACAAGGTTGGACATCCCTAACCCAAAAATGTGACATGTAAAAATGCTCGGTAACCTGAACATTATACTCAAGACAGTGGTTCTCAACCTCCCTAACACTGCAACTCTTTAATACAGGTCCTCGTGCTGTGGTGACCCTCAATCGTAAGATTATTTCATTGCTACTTCATAACTGTAATTTGGCTGTTACGAATTGTAAATATCTGATATGAAGGATATCTGCTATCGGCCCTGTGAAAGGGTCGTTTGACCCTCTAAAGTGCTCACAACCCCCAGACTGCGAACCCGCTACTCCAAGAGTAAAGGCTATACAAATGCTGCAAGGTGCAAAACTCTGAATTCTGAACAATTCTCCTCCCACACATTTCAAGAAAGGCGGTCCCATCTGCGTTCCTGCCACTAAGAACAAGCAAACCATCAAGTCAACCTCTCTGTCTAACTCCAGTTTAAACATGATCTTTGTTTTGACTATTCCTAGATAGTACTTTTCATATGAGCATCCCTCCAAAGCAAACATTAGGAACACGAGGGCCTCTCTCTACACAGACACAGATATGATGCTTATTAGGAATGTGTCAGACAAGAGTCTGAGAAGTGAATGGTGCCAACTCCACCAGGAACTGTGATCTCTAGACGAAAGACTGACAGTTTTTAGATTGAACTTCCTAAGGCTGGAGAGATGGCTCAGAGGTTAAGAGCACTGTCTGCTCTTCCAGAGGTTCTGAGTTCAATTCCCAGCAGCCACATGGTGGGTCCTCTGGGATCAGATGCCCTCTTCTGGTGTTCAGGTATTCACGTAGACAGAATATTATATACATAATGAATAAATCTTTAAAGAAAAACTATTTAGATTAGACTTCCTTATGGTTCTTGAAAAGTAAAGGGGTTGAAGAAAAAAACACGTCTAATACAAGGCTATATTCATATTGGATGTATAGTAGCGTGTTAATATTGCAGGTGTGTGTGTTAACGTGTAACTATTGACTAGTTAAAGCTTTTAAATGAACTTCTGCAGCACACTAGCATTCCTTCCCTAAAAGCGCTCGGACGACGCTGAATCCCAGCACAAGTGCAAGTGGACACCACTGTCTCCACAGCCCTCATCTGAAAAGTTGGGTGAAATTTTCCAGGGTCAGCACCAAGCCAAAGATGAAAAAGTGTTCATAGAAAAAGACCCAATCCTGCGAGGCGGTGGTGGCACATGCCTTTAACTCCAGCGCTCACTAGGCAGAGGCAGGCAGGTCTCTGTGAGTTCAAGGCCAGCCTGGTCTACAAAGCTAGTTCCAGGACAGCCACAATCTAAACAACAACAACAAAAAGACAGGTGTGATGACTCACACCTTTAATCCCAACACTCAGGGAGGAGGCAGAGGCAGGAGGATCACTAGGAGTTCAAGGCCAGCCTGGTCTACAAAGCTTCCAGAACAGTGAAAGCTACACAGAGAAACCATGTCTCAAAAAACAAAACAACAAACAAACAAATTTTTAAAAGACCCAATTCCTCCCTCCGCATTTGTAGAAATCAAACCAGGGGGGCAACGAGCTCCCAACCCGGCACTCACTCTGCACTGGCACCAGCCACACACCCTGCAGGGAGCCAATGAGGATAAGCAGATGTCTACTGGACACATTTGCAGACCACAGCTGTTCCCAGGATCCAGGACCCACATCCAAGTCATCCGGCTACAAGACTGTCACAGCAGAGGTCAGCATCGCAGCGTGCTCAGCTCACCTGGCCCGAAGCAGCGCTTCTGGCTACAAGGGCTGTCAGTTGCATTCCTCTACTCTGACGTGCTTTTTTCCATCAGAAAAAAAATAATGGTTATTTAGATTTTTTTTAATTTGCTAGACACAGGCAATTCACAGAATATTATTTTTCACTTGAGTTAGGTTTTGTGGCCTTGTGAAGAATGAGGAGTGAAAAGCGTCAGGATATGTGGGTCAACTCAAGGGTAAGGCAGTCCGTATACTTGCATTATCCTAACACTCTCTCCACATTCCTGCAAGCATACCCAGCAGGGCCCTCCGCATCTTTACTTAGACGACACCAGAAGTGGGCCCTAGACTATGCAGAGTATAAAATCTGCGTGGTCCCACAGTGACGACCAGGAGCCCCTCCACCAGCACCGCAGACCACTGCTGGCATAGCTGCGTTCTTTAGGAAGTACACGGTGCCTCTGTTAGCTATTCTGTAAAGCTGGCAGTGGTTGTTTGAATGTTGAGCATCATAAAAAGCCACTTAGGCAGTTTTAATAGAAACAGAACCAGCTTTTGGAATGCCCTAAATATTTCTCATCTTTACCACCAACTGTAATAACATATAATAACCATATGTCCAACATTTCCGGCAGAGTTTCAATTTCACATCTTTTGTTACATAAAATTAATAAATAGGCTTGAACAGATTGTTTAAGAATCCCTCTTTTTACATTTTCCAAATGTTACACATTTGGACATAAGTTCTCTTATAATCAGAAGGGGGAAAACCCTCATAAAACATATATCATATACAAATAAATCTTTACATTATGTTCATTCAGAACTCTAAAATGAATGCTTATAGCAGTTTTATTCATAATTTTCAAAACTTGGAAGCAGCTGCAGTGTCCTTCAGAAGCCAGGCATGGTAGTGCATGTCTGTAACATAAACAGCTCAGACAGGACAAATAAACCATGTACATCCTACAATGGAGTATTATCCAGTCCCAAGAAGAAATGATGCCACAGAGAACCATGGAAGAACGTACAGTTGCTAAAGAAACACTTTGTGCTGTATGATGCCAACTTGATGTTCTAGAAAACATCCAGAGTGTGACAGCAGCAGAGCACAGACACTGCAGAGGCAGAGCACAGGGGACCTTTAGGGTGGGGAAATAATTAACTCCTCGTACCACAGGTGCTCCTGCCTTATGGTGGGCTTACATCCTACAAGGCTCTTCTTCAGAAACTGAAATCACCATGAGCTCCAAACGCACTTACCACACTCACCCCACTCAACACCATCACCTCATGGCCTACCTCGACCGTGCTCATGACTGCTCGCTTCAGTCTAGAACAGGGCACATCACGCAGCACAGCACCTAGTTTATAATGAAACGGTAAATAGCCTGTGTCATCTATTCAGTAGAGTACCAATAACTTCCCGAGAGGCTCCGCTGCTGCTCAGCATCAACGGTGGCTCGGCCATGGTACAGGCAGCCTGGGAAAAGATTCAAAGCTGATATCATTTTCACTAAGCGCAAATCACCATCAGAAACGCAAAACAAGCAAACAGTCAAAACCCTAGCTCAAATCACCGTAAGCTAAGGGTCATTTGTATAATGGTGGGTAGATTTGTCCAAACTCCCATAAGTCCCAACATCATGAGTGGACCCCAATGTGAACTGTGGCTTCTGAATGAAAATGGAGGATAAACAATGGTATTGCTCTGATACAGTAGGTAGAAGGGGTCATAGATCAAATGGGATATGAGAGCTCTCGGTAGAAGATGAATCAAAACCTCTTTAAAAGTGA